TCGCAATATATCCAAAATAAATCAGGGGGGATGTAATAACAATTTCTCGATTTACATTTTCTACGCTATTATTTCTTCGGCTGTTTTTCTAATGGTGATTTTAATTGTTATGTTAATTGTAAAAGGAGGTTAGTGTTTTTTAATTTTATTCTTCCTTTTTAAGAATAATCAAGCAATTACTATAATTATTAGCACTCCACCTATTCCACAAACTATCCATCAAGCATTATTGCCCTGGGGTTTAATGCTCGAAGTATTATCAGAATTTTTCTTTGCTTCTAATTCCTGACGAGTAATTTTTTTATCAATCCTGCTTTCTAAATATTTATCTATTCCTTTTAGTTCGGGGGAATTAATTAGCAAAGTTCAGAGATTAGTAGCAGTTGATTTATCATTACACTCAATTATTAACCTTTCGCCTTCTAATTTAATTGATTTAATATTATTCTTTTGAAAGTATTGGAAGAGAATTTTATCATTTAACTTTGGGGATTGAGAATTAGGGAAATTATTTTCGTTTTCCAAAGGAGTAGGCAAATTATTGCCCTTTTGGGCTAATCAATTCTTTTCCTCTTGAATTTCTTCCTCACATTCTTTAATTCGCCTTTTAGTGTTAGCAATTTCTTCTTCCGGACCCTGCTCGGCTTGGAGTTCGGCTAAATATCTTTCAGAGTAGGATTTTTCAAATTGTAATTTCTCTAAATAAACACTATTATCAACTGGCGTAATGGTAATTGAGTCGGTTAGTTTTAGTTGTTTAGCATTGGCGTCAACTGCACTAACGTGTTTTTCTAATGGTATATTCTCCATTTCAATTAAATAAAAAATTCCGCTCTTTTTGGAGTTTGGCCTTATTTTTGCACTGAGCAGGTTATTGGCAGCGGAATGATTTTCAGGAAAAAATAACTGAAACTTTTGACCGTTTTCTATTCTTCGAAAAGCATGATAACGGTCATCATTATCACAACTTAATTCTCAACATCCTTCATAAAGAAACATTTTGGGATTGCTACTTAATTTTTGGTTAATTTTATTTTGTCTTTCTTGGCTTTCTTGTTTTTCCTTGCTCTTTAATTCTTCCTCTAAATTTTTTATTTGCTGAATTAAACTTTCAATTTCTTTTCAATCAGAATGTTCTAATTCTTCCGGAAAGACATTCATTTTTTTTGCCTTTTCTTTGCCAGCCGCAGTTTTAATTTCACCATGATATCAAAATCGTTCCTCATTTCCTCTGCACTCACCACATTCACCTAATGATTTTAGTCAACTAATATCATAACCATCATTTTTGTTTTTCTCGCCTCTTTTTGCTTTCGCTAAGTCTTTTGCTAAATCAGCCTTAATCTGATTAGCAAGGTTTTTTTTTTTTTTTTTGGTTTTCTGACATAATAATATTAAAAATTATTTTCTATATATTATTTGTTTTACACTTTTTTATCTCCAAAGGTCTTAATTTCTGTTCCTTAATTACTTGCTAAAAACTTTCCTTATCTTTAATTAGCCTTTCACCCGTAAATTGATAAACATAATCAACATATTGAAATATTTCATAATGATGGTCAATTACCAAGACCGTTTTGCCTTTTAATTTCACAAAAATATTGCTTAAAATATTTCCTTTTAGATTAGGATGAACATTGCTTAATATTTCGTCCAAAATGTAAATATCATAGTCATTAATAAACATTTTCATGGCGGAAATTTGCTGTTTCTGTCCTTCCGAAAGGTCGCTACCCCCTTCTCTTAAAACGGTATCAAATCTTTGCGGTAGTTTAGTAATAAATTCATAAATTCCAACTTTTTTGGCTGCTCGCACCAGTTTATTATAATCTTTTTTGTCATATTTATTGGGATAATAAACATTCTCCGCAATACTCATTCGGAAAAAGGTCGGATGGTTAGTTTGATAGCAAACATGTTGATGGAGGCTAATAGTATCTATTTCCTGGATATTATGTTCCCCAACAAAAATCTGTCCCTCCTTTAAATCATAAAGTTTGAGAGTAGTTTTGGTGATCGTGCTTTTACCAATCCCATTTTTGCCAGCAATGCCATAAATTTTTCCTTGCTGAAAAGTGAAAGAAAAATTTCGTAAAATGCTTTGGCGAGGCCGTTTAGGATAGGCAAATACTACATTTTGAAAAATTATATCGCCGTTCTTGAAGGGAAGATTTCGGGTCGGAACACTCGGTGCGTTTGGAACAGTTTGACGATTTAAAGTTTTAGCACTCTCATTAACGATGGTTAGGCTGCTGGAAAGTTCATCCAGAGTTAGCATTGCCTCAATTATTTTATTAACTTCATTATTTAGACTTCTTACTGAAAAAAAGTATCGAACAAAATTGCCAATTAGGAACACCGAGTCCATTTTTGGATCTGTGGAGTAAAAAACCAAGGTCAATGCCATAAAAATAATCGGAATATTCGGAATAACCACATATTGAGGAACCGCCTTAAACATCGTGCTAAACCAGAGTGATTTTTTGTTCCGACGAAAAGTTGAGTCCAGTTGTCGGTCAACTCTTTCTTCTTCATACTTTTCCCCCGAAACCGCCTTAATATACTCCAAATTGTTAATTCGTTCGTAAATGATTTTATTGTCTTCTTCTTGTCTTTTTTTCGCTGCTAAATTTAATTTGCTGGCTCTTTTGAAGAGCATAATTTCAACCACAAACAAAACGGCAAACAAGCCTAACATAATTACCAAGAGCCGCGGGGCGGTTCCTTCCCCCCCAAAATTAAAGTCAAATTTAAGTAAGAGAAATATAGAGAACACCACATAAATTAAGCGATTAGGAATAAACCAGATACTATACGCAATTTCATCCAAATCGTCGGCAAACTGGGTAATTAAATTTCGGGAAACCTCGGAGGAGTTAGCGTATTTGGACCGCACAAAGTGGCGAAATAAGTCCTTTTTCAAATCTCGCTCGATGCTGTCATAAGCATAATTCATTCAATAATAATGAAGCACTGAAAAAAGAGCCTTCACCACCAGAATGAGAATTAGTGAATAAGTAATAAATCACCAAATAGTTAAATTATCAGTTTTAAATCAGCGGAGACCAAAAAAATTAAACTCAAATTCAAAATCATTCTGACTGGAGTCATTAATTTTTCGTCCTCCTACCCGAGCCTCTTCAATTATTTTTTTGGCTTGCTCTTTCGTTAAAGAACCTTCTCCTTCTATTTCTTTTTCAATTTTTTCTTTGACTTCTTTTTGTTTTTTATTATTTTCATCCGTCTTTTCAGCCAATATTTCCCTAATTCTCCTTTTCTCAATGACTTTTTTTTCCGCCCCCCCCTCTTCTTTTTCTACTTCTTTAATAACTTGCTCACTCAGAGTTTTTTCTTTGTGAAGAAGTAAATTTTTTACGTTAACACTAATATTAAAGTTGATAACGGCAGTGATTACGGCTAATAAGGAACAGAAAAAAAATAGTAATGGATTATTTTTGATAATTCTTCCTAAGAACAGAAAAAGTAGTTTTAATTTGCTCTGTTTTTTTGTTTTGAGAACCGGTTTAGTAAATACAGTAGAGGAAGAGGACA